CATGTATTATACAATTTTAGTCGATGTTTTGACATAGCCCATATAGAAAGGTCCCACCCCATTTCGGTCTTATTGTTTTAAATGAATTCTGTTATCAAAGTGACACTACTTTTTCAGAAATTAGGTTTCCAACCTGAGTGTATAAATTTGGAAGATTGTTTTTTTTTCAGAGCATGTTGTCACCAATGAATCAGTTTAAGGCTATCAACTTTAAATATATTGTATTTGCACTTTGGTTCCGCACGAGTTTGTCACATAAAAACTTCAACTAAATTGATGTATGTATAAGATTTCAGATCTTCTTTATTTATGCATAAGTGGCGTTATTCTATTCTTCTTTAGTTAACATATACAAAAGCCCAAATAATACAATAACTCATAGCAATGTTTTTGTTATACCCTTCACCACACTGTGGTACAGGGTATTTTGTCTTTGTGCATATGTTTGTAGCAGACAAAAGGAAACGTGATAGACAAATGGTTCCTTTCGGGAATATGCATAGAATCACTTTTTAAGTCGATTTATACATGTCCGCCTGTCCGTCCGTCCGTACATGTATTTTTCTGAACAAAATACAGGTCGCATATGTAATCCGATTTGGATGAAATTTGGCACAGGATACTGAATTAAGTCTAGAACGATGTGTGTTAAATTTCGTGAAAATCGGTTCAGATTTAGATATAGCTCCCATATATATTTTTGTCCGATTTTAAATAAAAAGTGCACCGAATTCCCTATATATCCTTCGATTTCCACGAAATTTGGCATAGCATTCTGAATTAAGCCTAGAAAGATGCGTGTTAAATTTCGTGAAAATAGGTTCAGATTTAGATATAGTTTCATATATAGTTTCGCACGATTTCAGGTAAATAGTGCACCAAAGTCCCTATATATACTTCGATTTGCACGAAATTTGGCATTGCGTTCTGAATTAAGTCTAGAACGATGTGTTTTAAATTTCGTGAAATTCGCCTGAGATTTAGATATAGCTCCCATATATATTTTCGTCAGTTTTTGTATAAATGATGCACCAAAGTCCCTATATATCCTTTCATTTGCACGAAATTTGGATTTATAAGTAAATGAAGAACTCAAAATGTGGCCGAACATGTGACAAGTTTCGATGAAATCGGTTTAGATTTCGTTATTTTGCTTTAAATTTATTTACATAATTTTGTCCCATTGTAGGAAACAAATCTATATCTGACCGACATTTTGTATAGGTTGCGGAATGGCATGTTTAATTTCATGTTAATGGTCCTTTAAAAATGCGACGTCTGTTAGGATCCCATCTGTTGAATATACCCAAAGTGGTGAAGGGTATCATATAGTCGATCCCGTCCGACTTTAAAGCATTCCTTACTGGGTTTTTGTAATTTCGTATTGGACGTATCAATTTAAAACTCCTATTATTTTGATTTAGTCACACTGTTATTGATTTTTTTAATTGGTTCTTCTAATTTTTTTTTTGAACATCATTTTAGTTTGAATTTTAATTTTTAGCGACAAACACATTTACGCCCCTAAATCTTATCGCCAGGGCGGCTAAGGCCTGCACTCTTGCTTTGTTATCAGTATAATTTTCACACTCACATACACAACAATGGATTGAATACAAACGGTGTATATTTAGATGTTGTTGTTTTTTTTACTTTCATAATTTTTATATTAAATTTCATTAGCAATAAATAGAATTATTGTTGATTGACAAGAATCACACCCCACTTTATTACATATCTGTATAGAACAAAGAATTAAGTTTGAAAATAAGTTTGTTATTATCGGAACATCGATTTGTCACTTTCACATCTCACCATTCACAATCACATTCTAATTTTTTTTACCTCCCGTTTCCACCTTGGCAATCCATGTTAGGGCAAAGACATCTAAACGAAATCCAATGCTAAGGCCAGCATAGAGAAAATCACTGGCCTTAGACCAATATCCTCGTTTTAAATCGGGTATAAATGGACGACCGCCACATTCATACGATGACTCATAAATCATTATCGCGACCGTTTTATTTCTTTTCTTCTTCTTTTTATTGTTTATTATTGAATTGAGTCTTAGTCTTGATGTGTTTTATTCGAAATGCAAGCACGATTTGAGAAAAGAATATTCAAATCTTATGATTTAATATGAATGAAATGGTATTTCGATGTCGTGAAACCGCATATAAAAATAACATATTTTTATCGCTCTGCAATGTAGACGAGTGCATTGAGGTTTTTGTTTTGTTTTGGAATAATCTGTTGGGAAATTTCTTAAGATGCTGTAATTGCAATACCTACGAGGAGGGTATATTAATTTTGTTATTTCATTTGTAATCGAAAAATTGAGACGAAATTTATTATGTCTAGATCATAAAATAAGAAATCATTGAGGCTTTCATTTTTTGCACCTCATAAAAGCGTAAATAGGACGTTGAAAGTTTGACAATTGGTCGGTATACGCAATACTAATTGAACCCCTCTAGAATCGGTTGAGGCTGAAACTGATGCTCTTTGAAATATTGAAACTATATGATTATAAATTATGTGCTAGAAGTTTATTTATGCTCTCAGACAAATTACAGACACTCAGTTTGGAAAATTAACAAATAAAAAATTGAATAAACATTATTTTTAAAGTACTATCAGAAGCGTGAATATTTTGATGAATACTTTTTAAGGAATAACAAAAACGTTGAATGTTTGATATTTTTTCTAAGATTTTCCAAAGGCAAAGGTTGATAATTTTTATGAATAGTCTTCTAAGGACCATCAAAAGGCAAAGGTCGAGGATTTTCAAAGAGCAGTTTTAGTGAGGAGCATTAAAAGGCAACGGAAGGGGATTTTTAAAGGAATGGTTTTGGTAAGGAATAGTTTTTATGCAATAACAGAAGCGTTGATCTTTTAATAGTTCTTGTAAGACCATCAAAAGACCAAGGACGTGGATTTTTTAAAAGAATTGCCAACACAAAATTTGGAAAATGAAAATGAATCCAAAACTTTATATGGGGATATATGAGAATATGCATAGAATTACTTTATGCATGTTCGTCCGTCTGTAGATGTTAAATTGTAAACAAAGCGCAGGTCGCATTAATGATCCGATTTGGATGAAATTTGGTACAAGTCACTTATTTGGTCCAAGGACGATTTAGATATAGCTCCCATATATATTTTCGTCCGATTTAAGGTAAATGAGGCACCAAATTTAGTATATATCTTTCGATTTGTACGAAATTTGGCATAGGGTACCGAATTAGGTCCAGAATAATGTGTGTTAAGTTTCGTGAAAATCGGTTCAGATTTAGATATAACCCCCATATATAGTGTCGTCCGATTTTATGTAAATGATGTACAAAAGTCCCTATATATCTTTTCATTTGTACCAAATTTGGCATAGGGTACTGAATTGGGTCCAGGATGATGTGTGCTAAGTTTCGTGAAAATCGGTGCAGATATAGATATAGCTCCCATATATATTTTCGTCCGATTTTATGTAAAAGGTGCACCAAAGTACCTATATATCCTTCGATTTGCACGAAATTTGACATATCGTACTGAATGAGGTCTAGAATGATGTGTGCTAAGTTTGAAGAAAATCGGGTCAGATTTAGATATAGCTCCCATATATATTTTCGTCCGATTTAAGGTAAATGGTGCACCATAGTCCCTATATAACTTTCGATTTGCACGAAATTTGGCACAGCGTACTGGATTAGGTTCAGAATGATGTGTGCTAAGTTTCGTGAAAATTTGGTTCAGATTTCGATATAGCTCCCTTATATATTTTCGTCTAATTTTATGTAAATAGTGCTCCAAAGTCCCCATATATCCTTCGATTTTTACGAAATTTGGCATGGCGCACTAAATTAAGTGTAGAATGATGTGTGGTAAGTTTTGTGAAGATCGGTTTAGATTTAGATATAGCTCACATGTATATTTTCGTCCGATTTCAGGTAAATTGTGCACCAAACTCCTGATGTTAGTCCGATTGACACGAATTTTTGAACATCGAACGGATGTGTGATTGAGATTATATTTTAACAGTGCGGTATACTGAGCAGCGTGTATCAAGTTTGCTATAAATCGATTTACATAAATTTGTCCATTGCACGCAAACGATTCTAAATCTGTCCGATAGAAATTAAATTTAGCACAGGTTGCAGAAACGTGTATGTTCCTTCGACGGAACATTGACATGGATATGTTAGGATACATATGTATAATATACATAAAGTGGTGAAGGGTATCATATAATCGGCCCAGTCCGACTTTACTACTTTCCTTGCTGGTTTTAAATTGAATCAATTAAATTAGTTTTGAACACGTTGTTAATCGAAATACTCCTTGGAGACCCCATAATGAATACTATTTTTCAAATTGCAGCCCCTTTTTAAACTCTACATCAGACTGCGGAACAGGGTATTATGTCTTTGCGCTAAGACAAATAGCATACCGAACAAATACTAACCTATAACAAAAGAAGAAACTGTAATTTATGCAATTTCTCTATTAAAATTTTATTTAATTTCGTTTTTGTTTTAAATAATTTCTTTATCACTTATTAAATAAAAATTATTTATAAATATATATACAGGTATATGAGTTCTTATAAAAAACTATTAAATACACAATAAGTATACAGATATACATAAGTACAGTCATTTCCGCTTAATTAGCCCGCTGGTTAATTGATTGAGTGATTTAACAAAAATTCACAAGGTCTCCCGGCGAATAATTAAATTTGACGTTTTCACTTGGCTAAAACGACTGTCACTATTTTGGTTGACAAATTCCAATTAAACGGAAATGACTGTAGATAATTTCAATAATTAATTTAAAATAAATGTTTGTGTGTATGTTTGTCTTGTTTAGAGTATTCCCCGTTTATAATTATAATTTGTTTTTTGTTTTTGTTATGGTTTCACTTTTATCATTTGCGTTTTGATAATGTAGTTTTTGTTTTTTTTTCAGCAAAAATTATATTAATGCTAATATTAAAAATAAAATATAAAGTCTTTTGTTTCAATTAGATGGGATGACCGTCGATCAACAATTCTCATGTTCATTGTTTAGTATGACCAACATTTCGGATGTGCCCATTATCTCTTCGTAGAAACGACGATTGTCCGCATCGACGGGATGCCAATCATGTGGCGCAAAACATTGCTTGACACGTTGACGCAAGGAGCCCGTCGTCCGACTAACTTTGTACACCATGTACAGGGGGACGGCGGCAAAGACCATACACTGTGTTATCAGTATCAATACAGAGGGCGGATTATTGCTATCATCGCTGTAGGAATAGGTTGCATAGATGACATCGCCCTGTGTTTTGTGTGTGCGCGGAGAATTGAAGATAAGGAAAGTAAACAAAATATTTATTATTAATATTTTATAATAGAGGGCGGTATTTTCTTTGGGGAATTGACCCAATCCAAACGCTGAAAAATACTTACAATGCAGAAACCCAAAAAGATGGGCGTCAAAAAGCGCAAAAGAAATATTTTAAAATTGGAAATTGTTTTGCCAAGCATAAATTGTAAATCACACTGGAATCGTTCTCTGCCATAGATCCATGTACTGACGAACAGCAGTAGTATGGAAATGGTTAAATGGGTCACTGTCACAATGTCGGGCAAGATATGCAACTGTTGAAATCCTTGCTGTAAATAATCAAAGAGAAATGATAAATGTAGAATGAACAGTGTATAATTAACTTTCGACAAAAATTGTCTTTATCTAAGTCACAAGTATGTTGTGAGGGTGTTGTAGGTTTGAGTGGTCCGAAAATTTTGTAACGCCACAAACGTTATATCTGAATCTATATAGATATAAAAACACATATTATTTGTAATTAAAGTACAGGCCGCAGTCACCAAAATGTGTATGTAGGTTCGGGCAGTTTTTTTGTTGGTAGATCGGTTTTTATACCCTCCAACATAAGGTGGAAAGTATATAAAATTTGTTATTCCGTTTACAACATATCGAAATATTAACCGGAGACCCCATAAAATTCTATGACGATTTATTCGTGTCCATCTGCATATCTGTTGAAATCAGGATTGAGATCGTAATATTTGAGATAGAGCATTGACATTTTGTACTGGTATTGCTAGGTATATCGGTCCACGTTTTGGTGTATCCCGTTTCCACATGGAAACGAGGTAGACACATGGTTCCTTTTGAGAATATGCATAGAATCAGTTCCTAAGTCGATTTATGCATGTCCGTCATGTTAAATTGTAAAAAAAGTACAGGTAGCATTTATGATCCGAATTGGATGAAATTTGGCACTGCTCATTTATTTGGCCCAAGGACGAACCCTATTAAAATTGCGAAAAATCGGTTCAAATTTAGATATAGGTCCACATATATATTTTCGTCCGATTTAATAGAAATGGTGTACCAAAGTTCACGCATATCTTTCGATTTTCACGAAATTTCGCATAGCGTACTGAATTGAGTCTAATATGATATGTGTTAAATTTCGTAAAAATCGGTTCAGATTTAAATATAGCTCCCATATATATTTTCGTCCGATTTAATGTAAATAGTGTACCAGGGTCCCATGTATCTTTTGATTTGCACGAAATTTGGCACATCATACTTACTTGAGCCTAGAATGATGTATGTAAAGTTTCCTGAAAATCAGTTCAG